GGTAGCATCATCGGGATAAAAGTAGGTACAACTGACACAATTAAGACGCAAAAAATAAAACCATTATAAGTAAAGAATAACAAGAGGCTCTCAAGAGCCTGAATCGCTCACCTGTATTTCAGAGGAGAAGATTTTTAAATGTTAGCAAACTTGATGAACAAATTGTGTAAAATTGTCTTTAAAGGGCAATAAATCCTTAAGGGGTCAATTGACAATTTTGGTCATATTAACTTTTTTGTAGATCTTACTTTGCTGAACATTATTGCTGCTTACAGTTTACATATATCTATAGTAATATTCAAAATAATAACAAAAAACTGCAAAATTTTGTTAAAAACTACCAATTCGGTGGCAGCAACCCAACAATGGGTTGTTCTATTCGTCTGATAATTTCAGGGCCGATAGATCTTGACCAATTAAACAATTTTACCCCATGTCACATTTGCTCTAAAAGATTTAGTTTTTGAGATATAAGCCAAAAACTGCATTTGACCCTTATGTTCTATTTTTAGCCATGGCGGCCATGTTTGTCGATGGATACAAACTTCGGATACAATTTATAAACAAGATACCCTAAGGAACATTTATTTAGAGTTTGAAGGTAATTGGCGCAGTAGTTTCAGAGGAGAAGATTTTTAAATGTTAGCAAACTTGATGAACAAATTGTGTAAAATTGTCTTTAAAGGGCAATAACTCCTTAAGGGGTCAATTGACAATTATGGTCATATTAACTTTTTTGTAGATTTTACTTTGCTGAACATTATTGCTGCTTACAGTTTATATATATCTATAATAATATTCAAAATAATAACAAAAAACTGCAAAATTTTAATAAAACTACCAATTCGGTGGCAGCAACCCAACAATGGGTTGTTCGATTCGTCTGAAAATTTCAGGGCCTATAGATCTTGACCAATTAAACAATTTTACCCCTGTCACATTTGTTTTAAAAGATTTAGTTTTTGAGATATAAGCCAAAATTTGCATTTGACCCTTATGTTTTATTTTTAGCCATGGCGGCCATGTTTGTCGATGGATACAAACTTCGGATACAATTTATAAACAAGATACCCTAAGGAACATTTATTTAGAGTTTGAAGGTAATTGGCCCAGTAGTTTCAGAGGAGAAGATTTTTAAATGTTAGCAAACTTGATGAACAAATTGTGTAAAATTGTCTTTAAAGGGCAATAACTCCTTAAGGGGTCAATTGACAGTTATGGTCATATTAACTTTTTTGTAGATCTTACTTTGCTGAACATTATTGCTGCTTACAGTTTATATATATCTATAGTAATATTCAAAATAATAACAAAAAACTGCAAAATTTTGTTAAAACTACCAATTCGGTGGCAGCAACCCAACAATGGGTTGTTCGATTCGTCTGAAAATTTCATAGCTGATAGATCTTGACCAATTGAACAATTTTACCCCATTTCAGATTTGCTCTAAAAGCTTTAGTTTTTGAGATATAAGCCAAAAACTGCATTTCGACCCCTATGTTCTATTTTTAACCATGGCGGCCATGTTTGTCATTGGATCAAAACTTCGGATACAATTTATAAACTAGATACCCTAAGGAACATTTTGTTAAAGTTTGAAGGTATTTGGCCCAGTAGTTTCAGAGGAGAAGATTTTTGGAATAGTTTACGACGACAGACGACGACGACAGACGATGGACGACGACGGACGCCAAGTGATGGCATAAGCTCACATGGGGCCCTTCGGGCACCGGTGAGCTAAAAACTAGAAACGGGGAATGTGTCAAATAGTCAAAAACCATACCAAAGGCCATCATTGGGTCTTCAATGCAGCGAAACAATCCCGTACCCGGAGGCGGGCTTCAGCTTGCCCCTCAACAATAATGTTTACTAAGTCAGCAAAATGGACGCCACACTAAACTCCGAAATATACAATTGAACCAAAATTAAAACACACACGAGATTAACAAAGGCTAGAGGTTCCTGACTTGAGAGAGGCGCAAAAACTTTAAACATGTTTTGTTAGATCTCAACCCTCTCACTATACCTCTGGCTAATATAGAATAAACAAGCACACATCAATACGCACAGTAAACCCCAGTTTAGGAGAAGTCCGAGTCCGATGTATGAATAGGTATTGAAGAAACTATGCAAAATGACAATGATCAGCATAAATTAACAAAGGACTAGTAGCAGTTACTGACATGCCAGACCTCAATTAATCTGATCGAAAGATTATGTCTTCATTATATGACTTTACAAAAGTATCGTAACTATATCCGATGTGAACAAGTATGTCTGTTCAAACGTTTAGTTAGCCTTTGAAGTAAATGTGTTTTGTAAAGAATATTACCAAAAAAGGTGGAAAAAAATCAGTAAACGTTTTCCCCAAGTCTGTGATATCGAAAACCATGGTGTAACAACTTTTCAGTAATACAGAAGAAACCTCGATATTTCGTTAAAATCAAATATACTGTTACATACACGAGCGAATCGATATATATATATATATATATATATATATTTTAGCACCATAAGATGGTGCCAAGAGAACGTCACACTCTAAAAACGGATCTGTTTGTAAAGAGGTACCAAAAGTTCATGTTTGTTAACAATCCGATTATCCGAGATGAGTCAGTTGGAATGTTGCTGAATTTGTGATTCCTTTTGCAGAACTTACAATATAAAATTTACGTCAAACAATAATGATATTATTGGCAGCCTTATCGGCTGGCTGGGACAAAAATAAAATTCACTTAATTCAACTACATTTATCATGGAAAACCAAACAAAAGCTGCATAAAACAAACACATTTTCAACAATACTCACCTTTATCAAAACTACGCTGAGACCTCGACAAGTGTGTTTTTATGATTTTTTTTTTATTTTGCGTCTTTGATAAAATGCCATAAAACACTCGTGATGGTCGCTGTACATTTATAAAACTGGAATCACAGAGTCTGTAATAACTTAAAACTTTTATTTGAAGTTTGACTTTTCAGAGGTCACTGTATAGGACCCGGCTACTAAATGGTAGAGGGCATACCAAGAAGGTTATAAATTTGAAAAAAAAAATCAGAATATTCAGCCATTTTGTATAATGCCCCTTTTAGAATTCTTATACTAATGGCAATAGCAAACCACAAGTTGGAGAAGAAATTAAAACACTATGGCCAGCAGATAAAAAAGACAAAAATGTAAACATCAGTCTATAGTCAATTAAACACCACACAAAAAACCGAAGTATTGAGCTCCACAAACTCCAATAAAATCCGATAGTAGACAAAGGTCCCACTAGAAGATTGCAGGTTATGCTTCATTAGTGGCACAAGACGTGTTGCACATGACATCTTTAAACAGCAGATACATCGTATTCGGTATATAAGCATGATAGGAGACAAATGGCGAATTGTGGCCACATCTGATGTAGTATATCCGATATCCGGGATAATTTGTGACATATTAGATTCTACAAACAAGTCATGATATAGCCCATAAATCTTTTGAACAGAAAACTTGAACGTTGCCAAGTCTTTAGTTTTCTATATTGTGTTTTGTATATTGATGTTTTTTTTTTTTTTGCCATGCCATTGTCAGTTTACTTTCGACTTTTGAGTTTGAATGTCCCTTATGGATGTTTCGCCTCTCTTTTCCATTTCTGAACCTTGGTTCGGTATCTTCCTTGTATTCAGCAATTCACTTGCAAGGAAGTTCTAATAGTATACACATTTTGAAATATCACACTAACAGTGGGATATATCTTACAAATGCAGAGGTCTGTTGGTGATACCCTCAGGGACGAACCGTGCATTTGTTCTCAGCCTGTCAATTTGAAGGTTTATGTCTTGAACGTTTGTATTATGTTTTTCAAATATTTTGGCCTCGAGCATTGCTGAAGAGGCATTAATTGTAAATGTGCATCTGGTGCAGTAAAATTGGTACCGTTAATGATATTGAAGCAAATCTACCAGTAAATGGAGTACCTTTTACTCAAAATCCATGTGATAGATGCCATAAAAGTAATCACCAGTGTTTAGGTCTTCAGAGAAAGGACCTATAGCTGCACTTCTGTAAATAGACAATGCAATTTCTCCTTTTACGGCTAAAACTGTGCCACTTTTACTATGAAATTTCGTAATTTTTTTTTATTCTAGAATGGTAAGTTCATATGCACTACTATTTCTTTGAAAGGTCAAAACATAGGGCTGTGTGGCATATTTTCAACATTTATATGCCTCAAACTTCTAAGAGTTTAAACTATTAGCAATTCCAGCTCACTTAAGTTTTGATGTGTAAGGATTTGTAATCATGCTATAGATTAACCACGAAGAAACCCTTGCTTATTGATATATCTATAGACCAATTACTCGTTCTCAATTCTGAAAAAGAAAGCAAACCACTTCTAGCTTCTTAAACAAGAGTTACATAGATATAAGAAGATGTGGTATGAGGTATAAAACCACTAATTCATAGCCCCATTGCTTTCTATGTTAAATTCTGCAATTGTCAAAACTATACCTTATCCTGACTTGTGCTGAAAATTTCAACATACTTTTTAATTGCATATTAGAGCGTACTGGTTCCCGGATGTTTGACAGTACAAAAACAGGTACTTCAGATCTGAACAACTGGGCAAATGTGCCCTCCTCCTATAATTTTACATACTTTTTTATTATTCAAAAGAAACTTTCAACAAGGGTTCTACATTGATCCCAAGTCCCCAAGCTTTCATTTGATACCAAAACTACCCAAATATTTCACCTATTGACAAAGATACAGCTATGTGTAGGAACTATTTTGCTTTAAATATGTACTACTTCTTGTATGTTCTTTCCGACCGGGTGTGAATTAGTGGTTCTATACCATGAGTGGCAATGAGAAGACTCTCTTAACAATTAAGAACAAGGATATAATAAACATGTGAAAGCTCTCTCACAGGCAAACAACCCATAACTGTAAAATATAAGGGCATACACCACAAGCACGGGGACACATTCTAATGCAACCACACAACACGAGCAACAGCTGTTTGAATGTTAACAAATAACCTTCAATTTTTATTTACTGATAAAAGTCAATATCACAGATCATTATTATATAGAAAGGACGGAATTGGTTTAACATAAATCATTTACAAATATGAAAATAAATAAATGCTTTCATTTAAAAACAAAATTATTTGAAAGTATGAAACAAAAACGAAAGATAAATTACTATAACCATCATCAAATACTTGTATGACAAAAGATATTCTTTTACGCTTTTGTTGAAAGTTCACTGAAATCAATTTGAGGATTCAAATCAATTTATCATCTCTGCAAAAATTAGGAAATGAATAATAGTTTTATGATTAGCTCCACTGTTTGATATCACAACCAAATATACTTTTTTTAAGAGTCCTATTTATAAGCATTAACACAATCATTACGGAATGTTTTGTTATATTATTAACAATAGTTAATTGCTGATTGTTCTGAGATTAGGTGGTGTTTGTGGTAATGGTGGCTGAGCAGGTGGCAGTATGTGGCCACCTTTTCGTGACAATAACATTATCTCTTCCTTCAAGGCATCAATCTCCTGTGCTTGTAGCTGTACTAACTGTATCAGTCTCTGTTTCTCATGGACGTCTGCTTTACGAATACCAGAATATTCTTCACCCTGAAATTATAGATGCATAAAAATCATTAGTTATAAACATTTTTAAATAAACTTGTCTTTTTCCTACTTTGCTAACAGTCCTATGTCGGGATAAGAATTCATATTTTCTCAATACACTTGATTAATAAAACATTTCTCAGGACAGATAAAAATGAAATACTGGAATTAAACAAGCATTTTTAAAACATGACATCTTTTACAATGTCATTGACTTTTAATGTGAACATACATAATTGAGAGAAGTTTTATTTATAAGATCACATATCAAACCTATTTTAGACCTTAAATTTTGCTTTACTTTAAATTTAAAAAAAATTCAACATTCTTTTTTAACACAGTCTCTCTCCTCTAAATAATCAAATTCCCATCATATTTATCTTTCATTACTATTTTAAAACTAAAGAATTATTTCAATCCGATAAATATATTTTTACTTCCATTTGGTAATAGGACTATGTATTTTTTTCACAGATCAGGCTTTAATAATTTGAGATTACAACTACTTATCTATGGTTTAAGAACAATTTTCCATCTAGTGAGAAAGATAGTTGATAGTTGCAATTTTCTTTTCTTTATAATTTTACCAATTCAGTCAATTTCATTTGATAACAAGCAAAATCATCCACTTTTATGATTTGACATAGTAACATATATACCAGATTTTTCTGTCTAGAATCCAATGATTTCTAAAACAGTTTTTGTTCATTCATAAGAAGATTAAGCTGATCCAATCTGTTAGTATTGTCTCGTATCAATAATGTTATTTTATTCTTTTTATCTTTTATTTTCTCCTGAAAGAGATAAACAGCAATATATTGCATGCATTTATAAAGAGATTCATTTTCAACAGATCATTCCTAGTCTGAGCACACATTATCAATCAGAATGGTGTAATTAGTATATATAATGAAGCTGAAATACTTGCCATTCCTCCAAACATTGTTCAGAAATTACAGTAACATTGAAACATTTTGCATAATCACATGCATAATTTGGAACCACATCCTCTCAGAACAGTGAAGTTATGTATCATTCCTAGTCTAGGAAGAGTGTCACTCTTTATGCATGTTAAGGAACCCATGCAACTCTCTGGGGTCCTTGTTGGTTTGTTCCAATGCAAAAATTATTCTCCGATCTTACATACCCCGATTTTCTAGTGGCAGTCCAAATTTCATACCCTAATCCCAATCTTCCCACCTTGCAGAACAATACTTATTGTATAAAGTTGTTAATTTGTTTTGGTCCTGAATATGCATAAATAATTGCCACTTGACATTAAGCTATAAATGATCAATCAATCATATCCTGTGTTTTTCCAATTCACAAAATTTAAAAACACTCAAATACTTATTTGTCTTTGAACATCTTAAATATACCTCCAACTTTTTTCTAAAAGAATTCCCTAAAGATTTCTTTTATTCTAAGTTTTCTCTTTCAATTCATCTAAAGCTATCATTCTTTTTTATTTACATAAGATATGTACATCCCAATTTCATAATGTCTTGGAATATTATTTATTTTTTTATTTAAAATTTTTTTCTGTTGGTTCAAGATCTACCACCCCTTTTTACTAAAGAAGAATTCTTACAGACCAATTTATAACTTCCTAAGAAAAATTATATTAATGATTCCCTTAATTTTCCCTTCAATATTATTAACTGCTACCCTCCCCTTCCTTTCAGACAAACATAAGATACTTACGTCCCATTCTGACACTTCTTCAGAACATTGTATTTCTGTCATTCTAAGTTTCTCTTTTAGTTCCTCTATTGCTCTATTGACTGTAATTGTTTCTAATTTCTCAATATCTACATGTTGACCAAATTTAGCAATCATCATTTCATTTGTCTGTTCTTCCATCTCTCTAATCTTGGCATCAAATACTTTTCTGTCTTTGATTAATGTAACATGGGTTTTTCTTGCTTCCCTGTTAAAACACAAAATTATGTAATTTATTTGTAATTTCTTTCTCTTAAATATCTAATTATTCAGTGCACCTTTGCATTTAACCAACAATAAAAGAAAGAAATAATTACAGCACAGAACATAATTGATGAGGAAAACAAATGATGAAAAACTAGTGTTGGGACACAATGAAAGGCTCTACCTGCTTTCAAATTCAAAGGGACATTATTCTGTAAATGTAGGCCATCTTAATTAAACTGTGAACTTGATCAGTAACTTAGCATTATACACGAAAGCACATAAAATGATCTTAATATCTTCAGGAAAAACAGAAAAAAGTTAAAATAATTTCAGGACAGAAGATTAATGGAAGGACAGTCAAAAAGATTTAATGATGGACAATGGTAACGCAATATGCCACTGCCACTGAATGGTATGGACATAGATATAAATTAAAATAACAAAAAGACAACCGAGTGAACTAAAGATTATCTTGCAAATGACCTCCTTCAAAAAATCATATTAAGTTTCCTGTAAAAAGATCCTATTAAAGGTGTCAAGTCTGAAAGTTAATTTCCATTTGTTGCATCAGCAGATATTTTTATGAAAACTCCAAGCAAGAAAAACAAATTACTGTAGCCATTGGCTGAAAAATTTAAAGATACATTGCATTCTTGTCAAATCACATCTACAACAACTTACTTCATTTGTGTTTTTCTGTAATTGTTTTTCATGTTCCAATTCTTTGATTCTGTGTTGCAATCTGTTGACACCATTGGATTCAAACACTAAGGTCTGTGACAAGTCCTGTGGCAATACTGCATTAATCATATACTGTATCTGGTGAAGTTTGAGAGTCACGACGACGTCTAACTCGTTCAACTTTTGCTATTTCTCTAACTGTAATAAAAAAACATTCAAACAATAAACAACAATGCACTTAATCAAAAGCTGCAAACTTGTCACAACTGGATGAAATAAGCTGAGCTTTATCTTGAATTTGAGAGTTTCTTGTCAAGGATCTAGGAACGCTAATTAAATTTTTTTCCTTGTTTTGCCATGACTTAACTACAAAGTTAGAACTTGACAGTCAATCAACAATTGTTCTCTTGATGACCCTTTGAAGAGATTTCCCTTAAAAGTAACCAGAATGAATGTACTATGATCTTTCAGAAGATACCTTGAAGTTTAGTACAAGTGTTATTTCTAGCTATACTAAAATGTGAATTACACTTTACAGCACAGAATTACTCATATCTTAAATGAATGGGTCATTAATTTGAAAGTTGCTGAACAGTGAGAAAAAAAAAATATATCTAAAATCACAATAAAGACAATCTTTAGTATTTGCACGAGTAGAAATCTATTTATTGATAAGCTAATTATTTGCAGCTACAAACCTGGAAGGCTTCCAAATCATTCTGAGCTGTCTTCAATGCTCCTATGATGACCTTTAACTTTTTATTCATACTTTCTAATTCTTTCTTTAATGTTTCATTATTTTTCTTCTCCTCTACTAAGGCTTCCTCTATGTCCAGTCTCTTTTCTCTCATGGCACATGTATTGTCATATAATGTCTGTAAATAGAAAGTAGGAAATGGTTTTTAACAAAGAATCTTGTTGGCATATCTACATTCAAATAAATGTTTAGTGCCATGGCATTGTCAGTTTATTTTCGACTTATGAGTTTGAATGTCCCATTGGTATCTTTCACCTCTCTTTCACAGAGCAGCCAAATAGACATCTTCGCTAGCCAATGGTAACAATCCAATTCCATCCTCTCCACCCTTGGTAGACTAAGCCAACATTTGTGATAACAATGTTGCGCCATCTATCGGTAGATTAAAGTCAAGCTCATTCCGAATACATTATTCTTGACCAATGGTAGCACTTGAACTCTTCAATTTGGAGGTAAAAATACGGTAACGTCTAGATTCTACACACCTGGTAAAGCAGGAAACGAAAATATACGTTGACATTCATGCATTTGTGCAAGAAACATACACAGGAACTTCTATTAGTTGATTAAAAACATTCAAATTGTCACTAAATATAGTCGTATGTTTAGGGATGTAAAGACTTGTTGCACAATAAGCACGTGGCAATTGTTTACATACACTTTCTACATTTACACGTGATCATGTTATAGGAAATGGATCGTAACCATGGTTAGCGAAGATGCCAAATAGAGCAATGAAGCACAATTAATTCTATAAACTGCAATTAAATCTGCCACCTAATAATACCATGGCAATTAATACCATGTGATCAGCATAACTTATATATTACAATTCTCACAACAATCTAAGGTCAAAATAGTGTAAAACATGAGTTTTTTATTGGAAGACAAATATCTATTACTTACTTGATCACAGCCTGGAGGGCAAATGTCAAGGTCATAACCTCCAGCATCATCATCAGATTCGTCTTCATCTTCATCCCATTCAGAATCATCATCTGAATCATCATCACTCTCCTCACTTTCATCTAGAAAAGATTAAGTCTCAAACTTAGGGCCGAAGTCTTCTTAAATATGTTTAAATTATAATATATCCTTGTATTCAAAGTTGTTATTAATCTAAAATTGGCTTACCTGTAAGTTCAATCATTTTATTTATAGGCATAATCTAAATCTCAAATATAACAAGGACACACTCCCTTTGACATGTAATCTTAATTTAATATAAAAAGATAGAGCTGTCATTTATTTGAATTCAAAATATAATTTGCCTTCATTTAACCTATGATGATTGTTTGCTATTCAATCTTTATATTTTGTGAATTTGTACATTACAACCATAAAACTGTGTTCTCCCCTAAAAAAAATGTGAAATAGTTATATAAAACCTTAGAACCCTTAGCATGAACAAAATATCTGTGGCATAACATTAAGCAATTAAAAATCAATCAATCAGCAAAACTGAGAAGTTTAAATTATTGAATAAAGTCATTCAAAGTAAATAAAAAT